GGAAGCCCCTGCAGGCTCATCAGAGCACAGCTCCCCGGCCCCACCCTGAGCTCCTGATTCAGTGGGTCTGTGACGGAGCCTGAGAACGTGCATCTCAAACAAGGTCCCAGGTGAAGCGGGTGCCGCGGGTCCCGCACCCACTTTGCAAACCCCTGCACTGGTTGATTTCCGAGGAATCTTCATGAGATGGGAAGGCAAAGCGGGAAAGCATTCTGGTCGTGACCGATGCAGGAAAGCGGAGGGCTCTGAAATGCAGAGCAGTCAGGACCCAAAGGCAGGCCAGCCAAGCAGAAAACTTGGACTTCCTGGAATGGTCCACCAAAACGCAAGAGCCTTTGGTTGCCCAAATTCTGACGGGCCTCCCATCTTGCTTTCTTCCCTGGGTATTTTCTGTCCACTGCTCCCAGGAAAGGCAAGTCTGCTGGCAGCCTCCCGGCCGCCTCAGCAAGGACGAAGGCAGCGCCCTCCGCGGGCCCATGGCGCTCCTTCCAGAGGGGAGTGTTCACACAGCTAACCAGGCTGTCAACACGCTACTCAGCCTTCTGCAGTTTCCCCGGAGGCTCCTGACATTTCTCAGAATTTACACAGGGCTCAGCTAGTCTTAAACAACATTTTTTTTCTCTCTTTTGAGATCATTGACTTCCTAATAGGATAAATTCAAAGGAAAACATGTTCTGTGGGCGGCCACCCTTCACTCAGGGCCTCCTGACTTTGGTCATGTCAGGAGTTGGTTCCATATTTCAGTGGGGGGGGCAGGGGGGTACTGACATCTGGGTGTCTGTCCTTTCCCCATCCTGTAACGTGGCATTTATTGGTCAAATAATTCTATGAGTGATTTCGCTTACAGCTGAAAGCACTTTGACATCCATACTTTCACTGGAGTCTAACAACAATCCTATGAAGTAATCAGAATGGGAGATGACCCCATTCGGTACACAAGACCATGGAGAAGAGAGGCTCAGAAAAGTCCGTGGACACGGAGCTGAAACACAGGCGTTGTACTCTGGGCCCAGCTGCTCATCATGTGACCTTGGGCAGGTCTCTTTTCCTTTCTGGGTCTCAGTTTCCTTGTCTGTGAAATGAAGGAAATGCCTAAGACGACTAGGAGGTCTTCTTCCTGATCCCTTATTCTAAGAATAAGCTACGCAAGAAAAAGACTTGCCTCAGGTCATGCAGGTAGTGAGGTGAGCACTAATGACGCAAATGACACAGAGGGAGCAGTGCTCCCCAAGCTGCCTCTGTGGAGAGACAGACACCAGGGCACCCCTACTGCCACCTCTGCCACCCGGCTCGCGATGTGGGCTGCTGGGGGCTTCTCGTTGCCCCGTGGACCTCACAAGGACCGAGACTGCTAGGGGTGGTGTGGTGAGGGACACATGCTCAGACTTGGACTGGAGTCCTGGTGCTCCCAGCTGCCCCTTAGAGAGGAGAAGACAGTCCCCCGGCACCTCCTTCAGGAGACAAACACAATGGACCCCTACCCTGTGCCGGACTTTGTGCTGGAGGAGAGGATGTGGAGGTTGAGGAAACTTCCTGTCCACCTGTGGGAAAGGCATGGTGAGGACAGTGAGATCCCAGCTGCTGCTTAGTGCTAGAGGGTTGTGCTGGGCCAAGGGGCCAAGTCCCCAGTTGCATCACAAATCCTGCCCCCGGCACTGAGCTAAGTCAGCCTGGAAAAAGGGTCACCTCTTCTGTGACTTATACCAAGGCACTTGCTGCATCCCAGGTGAGCACAGGGTCTTCAAGACAGAATCCAAAGAACTTTAGGAAGGGGTCAAAGTTGGAGCAGTTCACATGTAAACATCCTCCTCCATGCACACTAGCGAGAGTAGATGCGCAACTCTGACCCCGACCCATCCATTGGCTGGAAGGATTACGTGCTCTCTTTTTTCTTCCTCCTCTGATTTTATTAATTTTTTTTATATATTAGCTTTCATTATACATGCATAAATTGTATATTAATTTTTCACCTAAGTTTTGAAGGTATAATTTTATTTATTGATTTGAGAGAGAGAAACACTGATTTGTTGTTTCACTAATTTATGCATTCATTGGTTGATTATTATATGTACCCTGACCAGGGATGCAACTGGCAACGTGGCCTACAGGGACGACACTCTGACCAACTGAGCTACCCTGGCCAGGGCAAAGGTATACATTTTAATGTCTCTCCTTTGTATGTGCTCTTTTTCAAACCTTCTAACCACATGGGATCAATGAACTCAACTAGCTTCCTATCTGTAATGAGTTGGTAAGTGACTAGTCTTCCATCTGTTCAAGACAGCCAACCAAATACTGGGCCATGTTTCAGGCACAGTGATTAAACTCTCTGGAGGACACCAAACACATAAGATGGCCTGCAAGGGACCAAGGGGCTCTCAGCCTAGGAGAGCACAGGAGACACATGCTCACAGGACAGAGCAGAGAATGGTCATCAGTGCTAGAAGATCCGGGTTACGGGGTGGGGAAAAGTGCCGTGAAAATTCAGAGGAAGGAAAGATTAATTCCAAATGGGGATCCAGAAAGCCTTCATGAGAGAGATGGTGCACTGAAAGACGATCCATCAAGACACAAGAAGGCCCAAGTTCCAGTGCCCCTTTGGCCACCATTGGTCAAGTCATCTTGAGAAAGCCAGCTCTCAGTTTTAGAATGGACTATTTTTTCCTAAGTGCCTCCCAGCATTATGAGGATTTAATGAGAACTGATTTCAGTGCACTTTGGATAAAGAAAAGCACCAAATATAACCCTTCCGTCATCACCCAGGGAAGAGAAGGAAGGAAGCTAAAAGCAGAAGGTAGATGAGAAAGGAAGTGGGAGAGGCAGGTGGCACCTGCCAAACACAGGGCACATGTGAACACCTACTGGGCTTGTGACTGGCTCCAGTGATTTTTTTTTTTAACCCCCAGTAGCTATTACTGAAGAGAGACCAAAGAGAGTAAGTCAGAGCATTTAAATTCCTCCATATCAGGAAAATGAAAGTTCCATTGGAAGAAGTGGTTTCCTGCCCTGAGTAAAAGGGTAGCAGCCATTCACAGTAGGTGGTCAGTGAATGTCCTCAGCTCAGCACTGCGCTTGGTGTGCATTCAAAAATCACTCAAGAAATGAATGGATGGGATCCTCACCACTTTCCAAGGGGCTTTACATTCATGCTCTATTTTGACTCATAACCACAGCCAGTGGGACAGACAGGGCATGTGTTATCATCCCTGACAAAGATGGGGAAACTGAGGCTCCCAGATGGGGAGCATCCATGTCCCAAGCTAGTGTGAGCAGAAGGTCTCTGCCTGCTGACGCAGTGATACTTCCTCACACCACACACGTCTGAGCATTTATTACTACAGCCAATCTTTGCCCCTCAAAATCACCCTTGCTGACTTTCCTGCACAACTGTTCTGAGCCCTTTCCCTGTAATATAATACTTCACTTAATCAGACTCTGTAATCAAGGAAGATCCTATTATTGTTCCCAGTGTATTAGTTTAATCCAATTCAGAAGGTGGTTTTGTGCATCCCAGAAATAAGAGTGTCATGGACTCTCTTATTATGAAATAAAAACTGATTTGAGTTAAAATTTTGGCTCAATTGCTTGGAGTCATTTCTCCTTAGAGGAAAGAGAAGGTGGAAACAGCACAGGGCGTTAGGACAACAGGAAGACTTGTGTGTGTGTGTGTATATATGGATGTTGTTGGTTTGTTTGTTTACCATGGACATTCCTGCCTAAGGAGCCAGGTGTCAGTTCTGAGAGATGGCTGGGGAGCAGAGGGCAATCTCATGGGTTAGGTGGCACCAAGAAGCTAAGGCCGGCCGAGCTGATTTGGGTTCTGAAATCTGGGCTGGAGTCCAAGTTCCAGTGAGTGACAGTGGGACAGGCTGCCCTGCCTCCCTCTCCCCTACACATCCTCCCGCTGCAGCTGCAGCTGCACCAGACAGGTCAGTGCCTTTCTATGCGTCTGTGATTTGTCCGCAGGCAACTAGTGCATGGGAGCACGCTCAAGGTCAGAGCTACACTTCCCTTTCATTACCCACCTTAGCCCCTTGGCTGATAAGTTTACGCTGTACCTACTTCCCAGGGAATATTTTCATTCTAATAAAAATTTGTGGCACAAAGGATTTGTCAGGAGGCTGGAAATGACACCCACCGCAGATCTGGTGAAGGGTACCTGCTGACATGTGCTCAGGTTGAGCTACTCAGAGGCTCTCCCAAAGTAGCAGGAACCATGGGGTGAGGGGAACAGAATTTCAGAGGACTCCCAGCTCCCAAAGGGAGCAGTGCATTTGGTAAGAAGCGGTCCGGGGGTGTGTCAGTATCTCCACCAGTATATGGCAGGGTCAGCTCTGATCTCTGCAGCTGCTGGAGCATTTAGCCACCCACCACATGGGGTCTCACTAGTATCATCCACACAACCTTAGCTTTATCACACTCAGGGACCTGGGCATCATGGGACCTGAGAGAGCTGAGCCATTTGCTGCATGATGGACCCTGAGGATGAGTTGATTTGATTAACGGTTTGTGCCCCTTGTCTACTGACAGAGAGAGTGGAACCGAAAGTGGATCAGCTTTGATGGAAGGAGGAGGCAAGATGAACCAGAGCATAAGCCAGGTGTGGGGAGAAGCCTCATCAGCAGTCCTGGGCAGACAGTAGGGAGAGGAGGTAATTGGAGGATCCTAGAGGCAAATTTACCAACTGCACAATTTTAAAGCCATAGAGTTTGGAGCTGGAATCTGCTCCCCCCGCCCCCCCACCCCGTCCACGCAGCCGGGAGTTGTTCATGGCCCTAGGGCAGAGCCAAGATCAAAAGCCAGAACCCACCCCCCGGCCCCCATACCACAACTTTTCAGGCCAGTGACCTTTCCAGCACCCTCCTACCTCTGCCAGACACGGACCTCAGTCCCCTGGCTCCCACGGAGCTAGGAATGCACTCTCAACACTTTCTCAAACCTTGAGAGCATCCTCGAGGATTCCATGAGCCACACGCATCAGCCATTCCAGACAGACATACCTTGTGTGAATAATGCTGATCAACGATCCTCGCCAGCCCGAAGTCCCCAATCTTGAGCACGAGGTCCTCCGTGCTGATGAAGATGTTGGCGGGCTTCAGGTCCCTGTGCAGCACATTGGCTGAATGGATGTACTTGAGCCCGCGGAGCAGCTGGTACATGAAGAGCTTTGCATGCTCCTCCGTCAGGGTGCCCTGCTCCAGCAGGCGGGCCAGGTCGGTCTCCATGTACTCCTGCACGATGTAGGCCACGCTGAACTTGAAGAGCTCGCCCTGCAGGTTGGTGCCCTTGGGCCCCAGCACCTCGTACACCTTCACGATGTTGTCGTGGTCCAGGCGCCGGATGATTTTGATCTCCCGGAGGGCGTGCTTCATGCTGCGGGCGTCGCTCAGGGTGATCTTCTTCACAGCCACCTTCCGGCAGGTCCTGCTGTCCGTGGCTGACAGCACCAGCCCATTGACCCCAAAACCCAGGGGCCGGAAGTCAACGAAGCGCCCACCAAGGTCATACCCGTAGACACTGGCGAGGCAGTCACCCTTCTCGGCCATTGTGGGCTCAGTGGTGGTCAGGGGCTGCCCGTGTGACGCAGGGGCAGGCAGGAAAGGCCAAGTCCCAGCCAGTGGCTTCCCCAGCACACCTCATTCTGTCAAGTTCCAAAGCTAAGGGATGCTTTTTCTTGTGGTGATGTCACCGCCACCAGCTCTCTGGAGACAGGAGTGGCACATGTCCATGCTTGCTGAGCTGCAGAAGCCGGAGGCTCACACTGTTTTGTTAACCCGCCCTGGGAGGGCTGCCCACCAACCCCTGTGGCTCCCAAGCCCTCCTCCACACTTACAGTGGCTCATGTTTCTTTCAAGTGTAGCATCTTGGAAAGAAAAACCGGGCTCATCATCTATGTGAGAGTCAAGTTGTCTATCACAGTGGACCACAAAGTGAAGACACAGAAACTTCCCCCTTTAAATCCTTTGTTAAAAGGGGTTCCTTCGGGCCGCAGTGCCTTTGCTGAGCTGCGTCCCTTTACTGACGGTGATCCAAAGCTCAGTTGTGTCACAGCCCCGGGCAGCTTGGGAGCTGCTCTCCGTGTCCCAAGCAGAATGAAGGGATCCCAACAATGGATTCTGGAGGCTTCTAGGGGCTTCGTTCTACCTTTGTCAGCTCCCCTTTCTACCAGCTCACCTTGGATTCCACAACCCAAACCAGCCCGGTGAGCACCAGTGAAGAAAGCTGTGCGTGAGCCCTACACCAAGTCACACCTGAAGTCCCCAATCCCAGGGGTGCTCAGCTGCCAGGCCAGGCTCCTCTGGAGGCGTCAACGGGGGCAGCATCCTCTGTCACCCCCTCACCCATGCCACCTCGAATGAGACTGTGCTCTGCTGGGCTCGGAGAGGCTGCAGGAACGCGGCATCTTTCAGAGTCTCCTTCCCTGTCAAAGAAAGAACGTTGGGTAAATTTCCACACTCCGGCTTCCAACACCTTCCCACTTGCGTGCCTTTTGTTAACCAGCCCTGGTGTTATTTGATCTGTCCAGCCAGCTGAAACACTGCTTGCTCAGGGGATTCCAGGCTTTGCTCTGCCCAGCCAACCCCCCTGCTGTGTGCGGCGCTCCCCTGGAAGAGAGAAGATGGATTGATTTGATAAGATCATCAAATGGTGTGCCTTTTATGTAAATGCTTGCTTCCCTAAGGTTAACATTCACAAATTGTAGGTGGGAATGATGGGCTCTGACCTTTGAGAAATTCATTTTTTAAGCTCTCCCAACGCACGTCAGCATTCGCCGGGAAGGGTGAGAGTAAAAAGTAACTAGTTGTAGATAGAAAAATAAAGGATCGATAATCTCATTTTTCTACTTGGACCCCTTTTCTTCCTTCTTTTGCTAATGTCTTTGAATATTTTAATAACTTAATATTCAAATTAGTAATTTAATTACAGTTGCATCTCTTGCTTCCCACGTAGGTGGCATAAGCACACATACCAAATTAGAAGGCTATTATATTGCCACCCTAATCAAGGACTCTCTGCACAGCAAACCAGGGCACAGACTTCTTCTTTTTTTTTAATCTTCACCCGAGGATATGTTTTTATTGATTTTAGAGAGAGAGGAAGTGGGGGAGAGAGAGTTGGCGAGCGAGCAAGAGAGAGAGACAGACAGACAGACAATGATAGATTGCCTCCTGCATACAACCTGACCAGGAACCAAACCCACAACCTTTTGATGCACGGGATGATGCTCCAACCAACTAAGTCACACATCCAGGACACCAGAGCACAGACTTCTTAGCATGACTCCAGGTAGCACAGTATTCTTTTTGAGGGGGTACCTAGCTCTTCCAAGCAATGGGTCAAGCCCAGTCTTAGCTGCTCCCTGGTGGCTGCCCACTCCAATTACAGGCATGGGACCCAAGTTGGGGGAAAAACCTGCAAAACGAGCAATGTAAATTCAGACCTCTGAGATAATACCATAGCTTCTAAGGAAGTGGCAGGTTTCATAAATTTATTAAGTCCATGGACACACAAAGAACAAATACGGCATCCAGAACAAAGGAGTGAACCTAGCCAGAGCTCCTTCTTTATTCCCATCACACTGTAGGGCCCCCTGTAGGGACACTTTCATATCAGTACTCTGCACTTCTCTGCAAATGATAAATGGAGCAAAACAACAGTCAATGCTCTGAAATTAAGAAGGCAAATTAGAGGACACAGATGGGATGAAATGGTAAGTAATCAGATCCCCTCTAAAAACTTCCAGTGAAGGAAATTGTTCCAAGGGTCTGGAACACAGTACTTGCTCAATAGATGTTACCTACTCTTGCTGTTGTTGAAAATTCCCTTGCCCTTAAATAAGATGCACCTACTATTCTGGTGTTTCATCAAATCTTCAACAATTTCACTTTGTGTGTTTTTATTGGGCCCAGCAGCAAAATAATCATAGACTTGCAGAATTCAGACTGGGAAATGATTGTAGCAAACAGATCCAATGGTCCTTCACTGGGGATGGTCCTGCCCTCCTTGGCTCACTTGAGGAGGCGTCTCTACTGGCCTTTAATGGGCAGGACCAGATTGGCTAACCATCCTGCCAAGCTCGTCCATCAGTGAATAACCGACACCCACCGCCAAATGCCAGCGCCGCCACTGAGAGACAAAGTTCCCACTTTGCATGTGAGGGCACCGAGGCTCAGCGAATACCAGCTCAGTGCTTCTTGCACAGACAAGGTCAATAAACATTTGATGAAATGATAAATGAATACCATTCGCTCTGTTTGGGGATTCCCGGCCAATGAGAGTCAGTGCTGGGACCACCCACTGAGTGACAGTCAGACAACATCTGTGCTAGTGAAGTCCACCTGGACGTTCCAGGCAGAGGGAACAACAGAGGCGCCCCAGGGCCCCATTCCATCCCTCCTCCAAGTCCTGCTGCCCAAGTCAGGTCACAGAAGGGAACTTGGAGCTTCTTTCACTTTCTACCCCAGGCCCAGTCAGGTTTTCAAGGGCATGGCCACCAGAGACAGTTATCTATTTGGCCTTCTGGGGGGAGACTTAAGCCTTCTTCCCTTCCCAGCGCTCACAGCGCTGTAAACAGAGACGGGAACTGCACCTAAGCGGCGAGGAGATGACATCACCAGCAGGCTGAAAGCAGGGTTTGTTTGAGATCAGCTGCAATGCAGATAATCTGTGAATAATTAAGAGGTGCTTGATTTATTTTTAAAAACTCTTGTCTTCTCCTCTCACAGGGCGGAGGGACTATCTCCCCTGCATGTACATGTGTCTCAGCGGCCCTTCCAGCACACTGGCATCTTCAGTGGGCAGGTGCCACGTCACCTTGCACAGCTTCTCCACCTTCCTCATGGGCCTCTAAATACACCCTGTCAATCCCTGCCTTGCTTCTCTGCTTGCACCTCCCTGGGTCCTGAAATGCTCTCCTGCTCCCTCCGCACGTGTTGAAATCCTGCCCATCATTCATAATCCAGAGGAGGTCTCACTTGCGTCCTCAGGGGGATGTCTCCCTTTCCCAAACTCCTGTAGTGTCTGTGTGTATATCATTTGGGCTGTTATTTAAATTTATACATGTCCATCTCTCAACTAGACTTTAAGCTGGGTCCAGGGCTCAAAGTACAGAAAAGAGCTATGGAGTGGGGTCCCTGAGGAATCTCAGTTACGTCTCTGCCATCATGATGTCCACATTCCCTAGAGAGTCAGCCTGCCCTTGCTGTGCTTGCTGCTCCAATGCAACGTGTTCGACAGGACTCTTCTCGCGACAAGCCACAACCACTCAGACAAACCAGCACTCCTGAACTTCTACCCACTTCACATCGTCTTCTGCTTTGATGCTGCCTCTCCGAATTCCCACACTAACCAGGCAGCCCTTGTCTGACTACATCTCTGTTCCCACTTGAGTTTTTGCTATTATTCATCTCTTCTCAAATCTCCTTATTTTCTAAGCTTCTCTCTGTATTTCCTCGGCACTTTCTACTGTCAAACCTTTGTCTTTTGTAATCAGTCACAGGTGGACTGATGACAAAATGCCTATTACCTAAGAAGTCTCAGCTAAGTGGTTCATTGCTTGTGTGATACACCCATTGGTCCTGGAGAGGGGCAGACCTGGCATCTGATGTGCTCACCTGGGCAGAGGGTTGAGTGTGGCAGCTCTTGGCATGATGCAGCTTCAGGCAGAAGCACAGCCGGTCTCCATTTGGAGCTGGTGGCTCAGAGCTGCTCTGAATCCTAAGAGTGACTTCAAATCAGGGACCTGGCATTCACCTTGAGAAAAGGAAAGGTCCTCGGTTCAGCTGTGCTTAGATAACACCCAGCAAGGAGAAGGTATGTAACTTTTCCAGGGTAGCCCATGCTCCAATGATTTCATAGTGAACGTTGTAAGCAAACACAGAAGTAGAAACATCTACCCCAGGACTTCTAACAATAGAGCTTCATCTCTCCACTGATTTTTCACTGACTCTCCAGAAATATCTTATTTGAGGCCAATTAATTATCCTCTCATGCATCCAAACTTTAAACATTGTGGAGGCAAACCAGAGACGAGATGGTGTGTGCCAACTGTCCCCTTCTGGGATTCCTGGGCTCTGGTTTACAAAGCAGCTCTGGAAAGTCTAAATTTAGACTCATCTCCTCTGCCTGCTCAGATCCCCTCTAACTTTGTGCTGTTGACTTCCAGCAGCAACTATGGCCACCGGTGAGGTGCTGACATTCCAAGATGCTGCTTTTTCCCCTCTCCTGAGCACCCAAACCCTTGCAGTAAACCCTCCTCAGGCAGGGCTGGTATTTGTTTACCGTCGAACAGGCTGTACACCGCTCAGTTCTAGATGATGATACCATTCCTCTCACAGTCAAGTCGCTCTGACTCTAAGGTTAGTGATCCCAGTCACTACAGTCCATGTGAACGAAACCCTCCAGACCGGACAGCAGCAAATGTTTTCTATCAAGGGCCAGAGGCTCAAATAGCTTCGGCTTTGCAGGATATACAGTCTCTTTTTCAACTACTCAACCCAACTGCTCAACCCTGCCTTTGTGGCACAAAAGCAGCCATAGACAATACCCAAGTAAAAGGCATGGTTGCATTTTAATAAAACTTTATTTATAAAAACAGGAGGGCCTGGGGGTTGTAGATTGCCAACCCCTGCTTTAGATTGTATAGGAATGTCCCCTAGCTTATTCCTGAGTAGGCACTGCAGTGTATTGTAACCCAGGCTCCTTTCCAGTCTTCCTGCGCCGTCCCCTCGCTCCTGGACTCGGTCCTCCTGTTGCCCCTTGCAGTGGCAATATCCCAGGATTTCCCCTCTAGGGAGGTGCCCTGAGCTTGGGACCCCGGGCTTAGTGAAGCTCACCCATGGGTTTCCTGCACTCAGGGCCTAGCTCTCTGCTGTTCACAAGCTATATTCTGCCTCCTAGTTCTGCAATTTGATTGTACTGTTGATGCACCTCACCCCTACACCGCACTTGGATTTTAACAGAGGCCTTCTGGAGAGGTGGCAAAGGCAACATGCTGAAGATGGGGTAAGTACACGAATTCAGGGTTTACCACGGGCCAGGGTCTTTGCCTGATTATTTCGACTGGGTCTCACAAGAACCCTATGAAGTTGTTATCATTCTCCCATGAAGTTCAGTGGGAAGTGACTTGCCCAAAGTCACACCACTAGCTTGGAGGCAGACTCAGGCCTGTCTGACGCCAAAGCCCATACTTATCATCACCGTAACACGTGATCTGAGCCCACGTGAGTGACTCTCACCATGAACCACCTAGGCCCAGTGTGACTTCCCAGGCCTAGCAAAGGACAAGTTTGAGGTAGCCACACCTTGTGGTACTTCTCAAATTAAAGCAAGAAGCAGCCACCTTTCAGCACGTATTCAGCTCCAGTGTGGAGGCCTCAGTTACTGAGCTCACTTTATGTGAAGAAACTGAGAAATACGACA